TGAGAGGTCTCCTTCACCGATTGCAATTTCTCCTTCAATTGAGAAATCTCCTTCACTATTAGACGTATCCTTAAAGGATTTCACTTTTTCCTCACCGTCTTGAAAAAAAAATGGTTCTATGAAATGTCGGGAAAATGAGAGTCGAAAATTTAGGTTTTTTTTTGCACCCTTTGATGTTTTAGGTTATTAGGAATGGAGAATGAATCTGTCAATTTAGGTTACAAATTTGGGGATAAAACCTCATAAGTTTCGCACCTTCTCTAATCTTGCTACGTAAACCACAACCGCTTCATGTTAGATAATAAACAAGCCACATCACGTCACGTCAATTTTTTAATCCAAGGTGCGGATAAAAAGGAACCAAAATTGTTGAAATTGACAAATCATTAGACCCAAATTGAAAGTAGTCAATGACAGTAGCCAAATTATAGGACCAATTTTAAAATTTGGCCGCCAATTAACATACAATACATAATTAAAGAAATAAATTTGACGCCAAAGCAGCGCCATTCGATTTTGGCATTTGAGATTAACGCTCGAGTTTGTAGGTGCCATCAAATCGAATCCAATTCTAACTCTTTTTTTTCAGAATGAGAGGAACTTTTGTAGATAAAACACATAAATACATCTAGAAACCAGCAAAACAACTGACTAAAGCAGCTATTGAGCCGAAGCTAGTGGAAGGCCAGACTTGAAGGTCGCCTAGACACTAACAAGCTCCCAACATGAGAAAATATAAACTCTCAAAAGTGGATAATACAAACAACACTATCCCAAAGGGAGAAAGAAACAAAACACAAAGGACACAAGGAAACAAACTACTAATAGCTAAATTAAAGTCCTCTTCTCCAATAACAGAGCCACTCTCAATCCTCAAGCGAGCCGACAACAAAGGTAACCACCCAAACAAGATCAAATCTCGACCCAAGACAAGGTTATAGAAACTCCACTATCAGCTATCTCAAACCAGACCAAAAACAAAACCCAACCCAGGAAGTCATCACCTGATCAGAACCACCAAGACCGCACCCTACCCACTTCAAGCTCGGCCAGCAACTGGAGCCCACCGAGAAGCCACTCCCGTCGGTCTCCCCCAAACACCAAACAATAGAGTCGAGAGGTGTCGGAGAGACAGATATCGAACCAGGAACTTCGACTATCACGAGGCGGCCACCTCGCCCGCCGCCACAAATTTCCCACAAGTTGTCGTCCACCTGTTTGCCATGGCAGCCACAGATCAAGGGAGAAATCCACGCAGGGGAAAAAGGACGGCAACCCGCTAAGAGCATCTTCAATGGTGAACATCAATTGTAGTGTATGTGGCAATTAAAATAGATGGTCTTCCATCCATGTTGAAGAAATAGATGTTTAAACCCATAAAATGTCTCCAATGGATTATTTATTCAACGTAGCAGTTACCCCTTTTTTTTTAGCAAATTTGTTCTTCCAATTGAAAAGAAAAAAAAAAAATCTTCATGTCTAACAGGACTTACACATGTAGAAGGAAGTCTAGATTTTATTCATTCTCTCTCTTGCCACATCATTATCAATAGAATCTAGGACATTCACCATTGAAGACTTTTTTTATTGAACGTCCTTCATATTTTTACAATTAACAATCCATTGAAAATGCTCTAAGTCGCACTCAAACTGTATTGGTTGACCCATGCTTCGACCCCCACAGGAGGGAGGAGTCCCACCGCTAGAGAAGAAGCCCACCCCGAATTAGGTATTTTATTTTTTAAAAAAAGAATTGGAGAGAAGAGGAGAACCGGGGAAAATAACAAAAAATGTGGGTATTGATCAGTAAATTGATAGGTTTGAAAATATGGGTATTGAATTTGGCTTTGGAACACTCGTAAGTTTTGGGTGTTTTCTAATATTTGTAGATCTTATTGTTACTCTAGCTTTGAAAGCTTGGTCTGAATTCTCTAGTGTACAGTTTAGCAAGAAATTGTTGTTTCTGCTTTTTGTTCTAGGTGGTTTGCTTTAGTTTCTGTTGGTAGTGTTTTGAAGACTAGCTAGGACCAGGATCAACGGCTAGTCCTTTTTGCAGTCAGATTAATCCTTTTATGGGTTATCTTTTTGGTGGGGAAAGGAGCCAAACCCTTGAGTTCATTGTCTTTGCCTTAGTCGGGGGCTAGGTTGTTACTCCCTTTCTTCTTTGTAGTTGGTTGGATAGTTTTACCTTTTGTATGCTTTGTCGCATTTGAGCTAGTTGGCCGCCGAACTGCGTATCATTTATGTCTTAAATAATGTACTCTGTCGTTTCGAAAAAAAAGAAGATAATAAGTGATAAAGTTAATTTTGAATTGACGTTGATAGTTAATGACTAAAAGACTAATTGATATAATAAAATATAGGAAAATACTACACTCGTCAGAGACTGATTCGTGAGGGTTATTAGTCTTTAGATATACATGTAAATTAGTTATTGTAGATAATTCATGGTTAAAAACCTTCACGCAATCATTCGTTGTAATCTTCTCCTATATATATATATATATATATATATATATATATA